ATTTATTTTTTTCACATCTCACAGATGCTCTCCTGAATCAGGAAAATAAACACAAATGAATGTACTAAGCATTTAAAGAGCAAGAATTGATTCCTGAGATAAAAAGTATGCCCTAGGATGTTAGGTTTTGTACTTGAAAATAATGTCAAGTTTCAAATTTTGCAAAGATATGTCTGATGAGAATACCTTTTGACTTTAGTGTTAGTTTTGGAGCCTTCTCAAAGATAAATCCTACTCTTCTATTAACTGCCTTTTCTAAATGGCTCGATGCAGAAGCAGATAAAGTAAGACAGGAGCCCAAAGCAGCCTAGGCTAAAGTGTAAGCAGCATTTTAAGTGGCAACAAACTATGAAAAAAGTGGCATGCAAAACCAGTTTTACAGAAGTAATAAAGCACCAGTAAAAAGTTACTCAAAATGGAAGAAGGGTTGGAGTTTTACAATATTGTTTAAGGTCCATGTACAAACACTTCGCTGGTAGAGGTAAAAGTAAGCAGGGAGATAAATTTCCTCTTTATATTCTCGGCACTCCTGCCATCTCTTATTAAAAGATTACCTACCGAAACAAGAGATGAGTTCAGAACTAGAACTAGTAATAATAATTTAAAAAGAAAGCAGACCCACTCATTTTAAATGCAGCTCAGACACTTGAAGTAATACTAGATTATATACTCCGTTGAATTAGAACACTGCTCTCTGATGACTGGTTTTACAGTGGTCTGCCTTTTCATCTCCTTTCATAGTTTTCTGGTTTGTAAGTGATCTTCACTACACTTTTTCACTATTGCCACCTTTGGTACTGTGCCCTCAGTCTGAAAGGAGCTCAAAAGGACAAGCAAAGATGGCTCACAGCCTACGATGTAAGTACAGCCTCGTTTATCTTCCCAGAGAAGTCTCTCTGTACTACATCCAATATTGCATATGCTGCAGAGACCCCTCTCTGCACACACGTGCCAGCTGCTCAAGATGCCTTTACTTCAGACTAGCTTCTGACCACTTTTTAGTAAAAAAAAGGCAAAAGTCACCTTCAAACACATTTCAAAGTTATTTTGTGAAAATTAATCTCAGCTGGCACAAAGGAGATTCTTCTGTAGTAAGTCTTTGCAGTTTCACAAGTGCTAACCTCCTAAAGACCTTATTATGCAGAGCGCAAATACAAAAGCTGAAATTAGTATTATATAGGCATAGCTTGAAAGCAGAGTATTTCTGCTAGAAGAAACCCACATGCAGAGTCTTTAAAAACACCTTAGGTGCTGTATACAATGGATCTACGTTTTTTCCATTGACATTTACCAAAACTAAAACCAGTTATGACTAACCATACAGCACATAAAGGACAAGAACGTTCACTCATCTAGGGGAAGGACTGGGCCAGCCAATACAGAATAATTTGAAGAAGAGTGAACACTAAATATAACAGTATAATACAGCATCTTTTTTCCACTATAGTATGGATAAGACCGCTTGTAGCATGCGGCCAATATCATTTGAATTGAAAAAGTCACAAACTACTACTTCCAACAAGAGCTGGCTTGCCCTCTCCTCCTACCTGGGTTGCATCTTTAAGGTAAAGGTTAGCCCACAGCGAACAGCCGCAGAAAACAAAACTTCTCATAGTATTAGCTAAACTCCAAGTCCTTAGGGATTAAAATATTTTCACTGAAAACAAGTCAAGTCTTCCTGAGTTTTTATGCACTAATTTTCACCAGGAGAGAAGGTCTCTTCAACACCAGCATTTCAGATACACACTAGAGACTGCACAATATCGTTACTTCATGTCAAAACATCATTCAGGTATTCTAAGTGTTTTGTTAGGAAAGATTATCAACCGAAATAAGAGATGAGTTCAGAACTAGAACTTTCTCCTACAATATTTAAGTTACCTGTACCTAGCCTGAAATTCTTACTTGCTACTTTCTAGGTTAGCAACATTTAATCAAATGGTTAAATCCATGGAAGCTTGAGCCAACTAGAAGAAGCTTCCAAATGTTTTAAGCATTGCAGCACTTTCTTCTTGTAGAAACTATTAGTGGCAGCTTGGAGGAACAGCTTATGAAAATTCGCTAATCATATTTTAATATTTTAAAATCTCCAAGCGTCTGAGTTGGGTTTTATTTTTATATTGCAAGTTATGGATGAGAACCAGCAGAGTCCACAGCACAAGACACACATCTGTACTGTAGAAAGAAGTACTTAATACTGCCTGTTTCCTTAGAGGCTTTTTTGCAGCACTATTACACATAAACAATTTAATTCTACATTACTTGGAAGTTAGGTGTAGTTGTAGCTCAATTTTACATAAAAGCAATATATGATCACCATCTACTTCAAAGTTTTCATCTTCCTTTTTCTTGTAAATACTAGAACAAAAGCCTTTGTCTTCACTCTCAGTTTCTCAGCACAGGTGTTTTTTTTTTTGATACTGGGAAGCATCATAAAGTAGCACGTGAAAGCTAACAGTCACTTCAGTGGCACGCTGTATTTTTCTCATGTGCACTTAAGCAGCATCACTCATTTGAATGGTGTCCAACAGAAGTATTTATTTTTAAGACCCCTTTTTTCAGTAACTGAATTTAAGACGTTGATTTTACAATGCCTAGTATAGAACACTTAAATTCAGAAGTGTTCAATCTTACAGTATCACTCTAATTTTGTGTGCCTATAGAAGACTTCTAGGTAAGTCCAACACACGTACATTGTAAACATGTCAAGATGACAATGGAGCTTCACAGCTGTTAAGTCTGTCAGTAAGGAAAAATGGTTCCAGTACATCTGATCGATTGGACATGTTTTCAAAATTACCCCATGAATCTTTAAGATAGCTTTTTTTTAACTTACAACTATGGGAAAGTTCATTTAAAATAAATGGAAAGACTTCACCTTGCACTGAAGTTAATTAATCTGGTTTCTAGACTGTAAATCATACTTCATATCTACTGAAATGAGAAAAAGAATTTGGGTTAGTACCAAACAACTTAGGATAAATTGTCTAGCCAGATATTACTGATGGGAGAAAGTGAGAGTTTGAACAGATTCTGATTTAAGATCCAGAATTTGCAATAATCTAATTAAGAGAATTCTCTCTCTTCTCTTAAAATACTTCCCAGTTCTGTTTCTGTTACTGAGCTTCATTTCTCTATTACATGAAGGTAGTGTATCTTAACATCTAAATAGTCTTGATTTTTTTTCCTTCCTTTTCTCCCACCCCTTTTTTAAGGGGGGAAGCAAATCCAGTACTAGAGTTCATAGCAATGTTTAGCACAACTCTTTTTGCTACTACCCCACCTGTAGCTATCATTCCAAGAAAACAGCAGTGAAGAATAATTAACATTTAGTACCATTTATGTCCACATGGGAGTGCTAACCACATACCATAGAAATGTCAATTTACAGTGGTTTCAAGTGTATGTTAATCATTTCTGGCATTGGAATTAAGCATCTGTAGCATGACCACATAGCAGCACATTTCTTTAAGTGCTCAAGTTAACCTTTTAAATCCAGGTTTAAATTTAGGTTACGCATTTAAGAAAGGTTGTTTCATAAATGCAAAGCGCCCAACAGCATCTGAGTCATACTGATATGCCAGGTGTACAAATGTAGTGCCTTGTTTGGTTTTGGTTTTTTTAAGTGTCTGGGAAGTTCAACATGTAAATGCTCTTCAGTAGAGAGAAGGAGCCTTTTATTTATAGTCACAGTACAGGTGCAGCTCATGTGACATCTGTACAAAAGATTATTATTGTAACTCCAGGAAAAAATAATTACAGTGACATACTGCAAAACATTGGGCATATACAGCCCAAATAAGCCTACAGTCAAGTGATCAGTACATTAAGTGAAGCCTAAGTTTCTCTTGTTCTTTCTACCCACTGCAATCCTTTTTCCTCTTAGGATGAAGCCATGTTTTCACCTTCACAGTATTTATATACTGATCACTCAGTTCTTAAAATTAGTAATTTTTATGTACCAGCTGTGGTTTGTATTGGATAAACTACTATAGAATAAGCACTAGCATATACCATTACTTACCCCATTTCATCGCCTTACATATACGCCTAAAGAGTTTTCAAATACATCTATACCATCCAAGTTTGCAAAAGCAGCTTAAAGCTATTGAGATAGTAGAGAAGTGGGCTTTTCTGCTAATTAAATGCACACACCATTTTGAGGGCTTTGGTACAATGGAGAAAATTTAAGCACTTAAGGGAGGGCTGAGTCAGAATGGGAATCAAGTATTTTGAGCTAGGGCTGCCATTTAAACTTCCCTTTTGTATTATAATAGAAGTTCCTATCAAATTCAGCAGTAGAATGAAAGCTCACACTGCCCAACAAAAGCATAATCTTTACTTGGTTCTATTTCATCACTTTCATATTTTTTCCTTCCAGAAATAGGAATAAGTGTAAAAAACCCCAAACACTTCATCCTGCATGAAGAAATTCTACTTTTCAGATATATTACAGAAATCCCACTGAGACCTTGTGGTTACGCAGACAATTAGCTATCTAGACTATCAAAGCATTTATTATTCAGCCACCAGATGAAAACCACTATTTAAGCTCCTTACTGGAACACTTTTTGTCATGTTATTTTCAAGGCATGGTTACCACTAATGAAGTTCATTCACGATTTCTAAAAGATAGTATTACTACAAGTGGCTTAACATGACTGTATTTAAGGTATCACAAAGCTTAGAATTCAGCTTCAAAAAAATATTATGCTCTGTAAACTAGTATTGATATAACAAGTATCTTGGGAGATTTACAGACTGACATCAAACGGATCCATTTATATGATACAGAAAAAGGACTTTCATATAAATGTTTTGATACTGGCTTTTTAGCTGCTCAAGGTCTGCCAGGAGCAAGCAAATGAAAACATAGGTATGCCCATACACACACAGCTTCCAGGGGCATGTTATAAGATTCTAAGAAGCTTATTTTAAATAACAAAACCGAACATCAGCAGATTTTCTTTCTTAGCTAAGTTTTACCAAGGATGTATTGTAAGGAACATTGTTTATTGTATTACTTTGATAATGCACAAAAATATTTGAAATGCACATTAATAATATTCTCATGTACAACTCATAGCAATTGATCCCCTTAACTGAAAAAAATTGTATTTGAATACTCTGTATTGCATTTTATAACTGGACTTCTTAAAAACAAGTTGTCATTATTTAAACTGTGTTCACACTTGTCACTCAGTTCAAGACATTCTTAAAATAAACAGCATTTCCTTTATATTAGTATCACTTCAACACAATGCAGTTTTATCTTTGCTATCAGGTTTTACTGAAGATCTGAAAATAAGATTGAGTTAACTGCAGAAATTAATACAGAACATAAATGGTTAAACATGGTATGCTAATTTTCTACTTTGCTTTCCCAAAAATACAAAACAATAAAAACCAACAAGAACCAGGTAGCTGTTAATTTGCGGTTTTGTTGCATGTTTGCCATGGTAATTTCCCACATTCTCAGCCAACTTGCTTAAATAGTCATTCTAGGTGGAGTGAAACCCTGGGAAAAAAGGAATCTGCATGTGAGTTCTATCACAGTGTCATTTAATATGAAATGGTTTTAGGTAATAATTGAAGAAATGCTACTGTTGTAGGCATTCACCTTGGCACTTTTTTGGTTTTTGTTTGTTTTTAAAGTCATAGAAACATGTGCCAACAGGTAAAAAAGAAATTCAGTGTGGAACTATGGCTCCCAAGCAAACTTGCTACATAGTTTCAGCACGAGATAGCTACTAAAATTAAAAAGTTTATTTTAAATATAGCCCCATTTTGGACCAGGCCTTGCATTCCTCAAGCAGGTGAGATCTGTAGGACTTTTGCCTGAATTAAGAACTGTATGATCACTCTTTTCAGTAAGTAGTTTTGTTTAATAAGCATTTAACTACACAGCAGTGTGTGCTTTTGTGTGTATATGCATGTACATACACCGATAGGCACGGTATAGTTATATGCACAAGGCCAAACTGCAATTAAAGGTTTAGACTTTGAAACTGTGTTGTTTTTAAAAAATAAAATTTTAGGCTCCTTGAGCTCTGATGTTAGCAGCTATTCCTAATTTGCAAAGTCATCAGGTAGCACAACAGTTTAAATATAAAATTACTAATAAAAATGTAAAAATTGGTATATAGAATATATGGGAGATAATGGTGGTAAGTAGTATTTTAGGGTCATAAGATATTCATACCCACAGAGTGTAGAAAAATCAAGACTCGCTTCCAGCTGTACCAGTCACGCAAAGGCCTTACCTTCATTAGCAAGAATAATGCAACAAACCACTTCCCACAATTGTGGTTTTTTTATGTACCTCAATACGCCGATATCGTGCCTTTACATTTTAGCATGTTTTTGCCCTTACGCACTCCAGAACTCTGAAGATGAGATTTTTGGGTGCTTCTGTGGATGAGTGATAGTTAGTAATGAAAGTGTTAATGTGGTCTTTGGCACCTCTATCTCATTAGTAAAGCAAAGTCCTACTCCATTTTTTCTTTAATTAAAAAAAAAAATCCCATCAGTGGTATGTTCTGTTAGCACTGAAGAGTAGAATAGGTCTGTACAGCCTGATGATAGGAAAACATATGAAATGGCAATATGTGTGTCTACAATTGTCTTTCCAATCAATTGCACAGAAGCTTGGTCCACTTCTTCAGTTACAGTGTAGTCCTCTTAAGAACTTTGGTTACAGCAATAATGTTTTGGTAAAAAAAAAAAACCAAAAACAAAAAACCCAGAGCAGATGCTTTCCTTCTTTTCTTCAGGTAGATTTTTCATTGTCCTCTCCTGTTTTCTGAACCCGTGAATACTTTTTGCATGAAGATTTGAAGCAGCTGGGAGGCCAAGATATCGGCCAGGAAAAGCTACAAGGAACAGAGCCTTGCACATTCTTCTCAAAGAAATAAAATATTGGATACCACCATGCTCGAGAGAGAAAATTTGTCTGCGAAGAGACCTTTAAAGTCTGTATTGGCACAAGCAGGTAAAGAGGAAATGGAAACAGACAGTCAGTTTAAAGCATTATAATCAATTACATTGAGTCAAAACAACTACAAAAATGCAACATATCCGCATACATTTCTGTAAAAAACAAGGTGCATTTAGCCCAGAAAAAAACAGAGTATTGAGATAGTGTATACATCATAGTCCAAATGTATACTACAAACTGAGCATCTTTAACACAAAGGGACACTTTGTTGCTGTACAAAATTTAGGGTGATGAAGCACTCAAGTCTTTTCGAATGCGACTCCTTTCAGGCATGTCATGTTTCCATTGATGACTAGTAGTTGAAAACTAGATTAAAATGGCTTGAGAGCTATGCTCCTACTTGAAAGTGTTCTTGAAACAACTGCAGAAGATACATTCTGAACAATGTACTTTTAGTGACATTTACAGAAGAACTGTCACTAGAATTTTAGGATGGTCTAGGTAATTTAGGTTGGTCAGAAATGTTATTACTAAACTACTGTTTATTCATAAGCTTAGACAAATAAGAGCTATTCCAGACATCCACTACAGCAATAAAACCTTGAAGTTCAAAAAAATGTTTAAGCCAAAATATCAGGAATTTCAAAAAATAACTTTACAAAAAATAGATTAAAAAGAATAACAGGCACAGATCAAAAAAGAACACCTTAATCCATTAACTATTTACTTAAACCGCAGTAAAGTGAAACTCCTTGCCCAATTTGTTTAAACTTCAATATGGAACCTCTATTTTTAATTTGAAATTAAGAACTAATTTTGACCTTTGAGCAGTATTAACAAATGCAGGCTATACATTGATTCTAAAGGTATTTGCCACTCACCTTTTCATTAGCCATTGAGTGGTACCACCAGAAAAGCCGTGTGGTGATATAGTAAGCAATGATGACGTCTATGGTATAGTGTTCATGAGCAACAAGGATACAAATTATGCCAGCAGCACTCATTAGCCAGCAGATTAAGTGATACCACCAGAAATGACGTGGTGAATCTGTGAAATAGGGAGGTGATGGAAAAAACACACACAAAGAAAACCATATACATTATTATAGCAATCCACAAAGGGAAGGGGAGAAGATAAAAAAGATGATTTAATTAAGGCTAGTAAATTTTAAAACATAACTCATTTATACAACACTGGTAAGAGAACCCTGTTTTGACACAGAAAACAAGACTAAGAGTTACGTAAACTTACTGAGGTGTTCTTATTTTGTAAAATGAACCCAAGATGAGCTTGCAGTTAGAAACAGACAGCACCGTCACCCATTTTCTAGTCAAATTAAGTAAGTTTTACAGTTAAATTGCTTCTAGGGTATGGGTGGAAGGGAAGAGACAGAATTGAGGCAAGACTTTGATTATTTTACTTGGGTGTATTGAGCACAGACTGTAAAAAGAGCAGAGATTCAAGTAAACTTACACTCAAGTAAAATGTCTAGAATTGATAAACCTGAGCTGAGATCACAGATTAAACAGGAGAAGGCACTCTTAATTCCTAGGTTTTAACTACTTTGCATGAAACCTCTGTTCTGTGAAACAGAATACGCTGTACGGGGAAGTACAATATGTGAATTTATACCCTTTCATTAAAGATTAACAAATGGGAGTGAAGCTATTCTTCAAAATGCATTTAAGCCACTTCAGTGGAAGAGTTCCCCTGCCCTTCTTTCCCCATTGAAAAATGCCTTGGGTGTCACAATGACCATTCATAACTTCTGACGGGCTAATGGGCTTCATTTCATTCGCAGTGGGAGGTTTTGGCATCCCTTGCCTTGTGGGGCAATGGTCAGCCTTTACTTTCACACAATGCCGGCAGAAAAGTTACTGATCTCAACAAGCCTACCCAGTAGTAGTTTGAGGCCTGTGCAAAATAGTTACTGTAGGAGGACTTAAATTTTGGTGCAAGTGTTAAAACAGTAAATTCTCTTAACTATCCTCAAAACATTGCAGACAAATCTGTATCTACTGATTTAAAAAAAAAAAAAGGAGCCAAGTCATCTTGAGAAGTTGACGAAAACAGCCCCAAGCAAGACAGACATACCAAGGCTAAAAATGTAAATAACTATTCTGGGCAAAAAAAGCTGGAGTGTGGGGGAATAAATGAAGAAGCAGCAAAGGATGAAAGGAAGAGAAGAGCAGAGCAAAAAAATCCACTAAGCCAGAAATAATAAAGACCTCGGAATGCGTCTTGTACTGAAGACGTGTCAACAAGAGAGCAGGAAAGAATACCATAAGCAACCTCTAATTCAGAGCAATTATAGGGCTTAAGCCCTTGCTCAGATAACATTTTGCTAATTATATGGGAGGCAGAAAAAGGAAAGCTATGCATTTCTCATTTATAGAGCATAACTCCACTGAAATGTACGCCTAACAATTAGGCAAAGGGCTTATTACAAGAATTTGTACGATACAATTCCTCCAACCCCTTATGATAAAAGTACATGAGTTATACTAGCCCTGAAAATATTGGGTTATCTGCATCTTTCCTGGTACTAAAGATATTGAAGAGTATGTGACCAGCGTTAAGCTGCAATAACATACACAAAACAAGGTGAACAACAAATCTATTATTAGGCTATTTTCCTAATACTGTTCTGGTAATTTTCATGAGTTACACATGCCATTCCCCCAGTAACGTTCACTTTACATGAAGGACCTAGGCCTAAGAATCAGCAGACTATAATCGGCATGTTAAATCACTGTTTGAAGAAGAACGTCTTGCATCCACAGATTTGAAGTTTGTCAGATTAAACAGGCATTTTTATATCGTGTTTTTTAAGGCAGAATGTAGCACTGCAACACTTCCTTCCCTCAACATTTTAATAAAAGGAAGGCATTCAACTGACACTGGCTAGTCTTATTTTTGTTTCAGCAAGAATTACACATTCCCATGAGCCAAGCTAGCATTTGCATAGTTTGGGACACAACAGTAGGAGAGAAGATTCCAATTCCAAACATGTGAACTGGAAAGGGAACTCCCCACTACGCATTCATGAGCGGCCAAGTTCCCAGGGTAGAAGCATTGCTTACCATACATCAGATTTAGAAGCTGGTGCTCAGTTATCCAAAGCTTCAATCGATGCTGTGTGTGCAGCACAGATAGATTTTCCCCCCATGCCCCATAGCAATGTAAAGCAAAGGGGGAAACCATAACCCCAACTATATCTTCTCTGTGCTTGCCAAATTCTTATCAACTTCAAGAGGCAAAAGTAGGTGACTCTAGCAGAAGACATCCAAGGAACATGAATCAACTTTCCCTTGTTTGGAGTAACTGATGTACAGCACACTTAAAAAAATAGCATTGCTTCTGGATGTAGTACAAGTGTGCAACGGTGCTGTGCTCAAGCCACAAAAATTCTTTAACATCTAAGGTGCATGAGCCAACCTGCACAGAGCTAATCTGCATGATATCAACTACAGTATGTTTTACTCAAAATTTGAATAACCTGTCAATGGATATTGAAGCAAGCTAGCTTTTCATTCAACCAGTAAACACTCTACGTAAAGATAGAAGTGACATGTCTAGTCACAGTAAGCCCTTAATTAAAGCCCACACCACTTTTACTACACCTGTGTTCCATTTTCGCTCAGCAAAGTCATGTTTTGTATTTCAAACTCATACATGTACAGTCTGTGTACAGCTGACCAGTTATCTTTTGGAGGGCAATAGTTTTTACATGCACTTTTATCATGTTCAAATCTGTTGTACTGAGAAAACACAAGAAAAGCACATCGAAATACCATCACTTACACTCTTTGATGAACAGGTAGATCAGCGTTAATACCACAGTGTGACCACTAAACAGAAAGTCTCCGCATAGGATGTGTGATCCAGTTATGGATAGACCACCACCAGAAATCAGTCGCAGGATCCTCTGAACCTTTGCCTGAGAATCTCCGTTCAACTAGAACGCCAGAAAAAAAGTACAAAAAAGTTTAAGATACACCATAAGTGACTTGAGTAAACTTCTTGCCCGAACATGTGTGGATTCAGGGAGATAGGGAGAAAAGGACACAAATTATCTTCAGTTTCTTTGGCTCTCTTTCACGTATTTGTAAACAAATAAGCACACATATCAAAGTTGACAGGTGCTAAAGATCAGCTTGATAACACTAGCATTCTGTCTATGCTTTTCCAGGCTATTTTAAAATATGTATTGTATGAGAATGAGATGCAGAATATACTGGAAAGGTAAACGTTAAAAATTTTTTTAAGGTCAGGTATGTCATGATAGCCATTGACGGAATGGATAAAACCCATTCAAAACGGGTCCCAATACAGTACAACCTTGCATACCGCTTCTGCCATTCTGTTCAGAGCCAAGCAATGTTTCTACAGAACAAAAAGCTCAAACTCACTTAATTTTAGATTTGGTTACAAACTCAGTCAGGACGTACTCAGATTTAGAGGATTTTTTTTTTTTTTTTTAAACATGCATTAGGATCAGCTTTTGATTTCTCATAGATACTAAGCAAACACTCAGTTTCACCTAGCCGTTTAAAGATTAACTCTGGGGAAAAAAAAAAACAAACAAAATTAAGGGATAACTGAGTTTTTCCATAATCAGAAAAATATTCACATGGGACAAAAAACCAAAATCCAGAAGAGCTATCAAGTTTTTCCAGAGTTCAAGTAATTCATCCTGTTTTAATGCTAGCAAAATGCACTTTCAGCAGAAACATTTAAGTTTTCCTTTGCTAACCCCTTCCCATTCCTCAATACACAGTCTACTACACACAAAGTCATTCCCCAAGCTACTAGAACAGAACAGTTGAGTCTTTACAACAGTGGTACATAAATAAAGCTTTTTCAAATAGATACTGATTCATAAGAAAAGTAGTTCATCCACTACGTTCCTAAGTCGTCCCAAAGTGAAGGAATAAGATTGAACAGACATGATGCTGTACTCTAAGACTGATGAGATCCTACACAAGAAGTGACAAATTTATCCCCCAAGCAAATTAGCAATATTTTTAGGTTTCAAAATGCCTATCTTCTCAGTGCACAACCAAACTGTTTCTTACTCTCTCAAATGCACTGTTCTTTCAGTGCAGCCAACACAATATAATTGCCTTGGAACAAACCGTATGTCTACAACTTTTTACTAGTAACCTAAAATGGCAGTTACAGAATCCCTTTGTGTCACCACCTAACTACAGTGCCACAAAATTTTTTAAGTATTCTTGTAGAAATATTAGCATGTACATGTTTCTATATGTATCAGCTCATTTAAACAGCTGAACTTGTTTCAGTCACATTTATATACATTTTGCAGGTTGGAACCAGGGACAGGCACCTGGCTTCAAGTATTGTGACAGCTCTTGACAAAACAGTGTGAGAAACAGGACAAAGCATATGATAACACTGTGAGTTTTTTTAAAAGGATACTGCAACACGAGCTTGTGTATGAGCCTATGAATTACAATATTGACCTTAGGTATCCCACCACGTAAGAAAAAAATATTGGTGCAGTATTAGAGCAATTAGCTTGAGCCTCAGAAGCAGGTTTACCAATTTGGTAGCAGCACTATTTCAACATAGGTACTCTGCTTTAAAGCATCTTAACTGCAGCAACGGCTTGAGGCTCTTTCTGTATCACACAACTTTTGGTTTATCACTATCTAAGTTCCTGAAGACATCAACTGAAAGTAATTTATGTTACTTAATAACACCTGGAACATTATCTTCTATTTGCTCTAATAAGCCATAAGGACTCAGGCAGAGACTAAGGCAAGAATTAGAGAGCAAAGGCTCTTACCTTTGGCGCACACTGAAAATGCATTCCAGGCACAGGTAAGGTGGTAACGTACATAGTAATACAGCGGTACAGATACAAAGTTCCTATTATAAAAAAGAACCTGCGTCCCACTATTGATCTGAAAGTAAGGGAAGGGGGGAAAATGATTGAGTACAAAGTTCACATGCAGGATATACATAACAGTTATGGAACTCTAATTCTAGGGCTTTAGCTATATAATAAAGCTAAAGAGCAGCTCCACCCCCTGCTCTTCACCACACACTTCTCTAAATCAGATACTATAAAGTCTTTCTTCAGGTTTTAGTCTTGCTAGCTCATAATAGTATGTAACTACCTCAAAGCTCCCACCAAAGCTATCTAACCAATTTAACAAGGTCTCAGTCTCATTTAGGTGTGCAGGCATAGTTTACCCCGACTCAGTGACCTTCTCTGTTTAGTCCCATATTATAACCACATACTCGACCTGAATATGTATAGTTTAAGCAAATGAAGACAAAGGAAAAAGCTTCTAGTCTAGCTGTACAGGACAGTGGGTTCCTCCTCAAATTTGGATGAGATTTTTTACATCATCATGATTTCCTCTGTTTAAACAAACATCACTATGTCAGTAAACACATTTTGAAAAGCACAATTCCAGAATAAATTTGACTAGTAGGTGTCAGAAATTCAAATTTAAAAAACGTTATTGAATAATCAAGAGAAACTTGTGTTTCCATATCCGGCATGGACACTGGAACATTTTCTAAAAAAGTCATTCCTTTGTCATTTTCCTGCCAGCCCTATTCTACAATATTGCAACAAGATGCTACTGTAAGATTTCTTCTACCCAAAGTGAACAAGGGAAACCAACATTCTGAAAACATACAGCAGAGAAAAAAAAATATATAGCTACTTACTTGTATCTAAGAAACAACCACTGGAATATCCACAATCCAACCAATATCATTCCATTTATTTCTGATACAGAAAAAGCCCATTTCACTCGATCAATGTAATCAAAAAATTTGTCAGGCAAGGGAGGGCTTAGCTCCTTTGGAGGTACTCTCTCATGGACCACAGTGATCATGACAGTTGTTAGAATCAAGTTGAAGAGAGCATAGACAAAGGCAATGCCTGTTTTCCACCATTCCAGAGGAAATTTGTTCCTAGACTCAGCAGGCATAGCAATCTGGATGTAATCAGGATATTTCTTTGTTGTTTTTCGCAAGCCATTAGACAAGCCCTTTGGTTTGCTAGTGCCATTTTTGTTCTCTTCACTGACTGAGAGAGTAGGTCGTGAGTAGCCATTAGAGGTGTCATTGTTTTGACCCTCCATATGCTCTTCAAGCTTTGCTGTCTCAATGGTATTCATTCCCAAGCTGTATGGCCAAATCGGATTTATCAGTGACCAATTTCTGGGCTCTCTAAAGTGTGTTATTCCTCAAAGTCCGACGTTCTTGTTCCTAGATGATTTTTGATTTCTGTAAAACTAAGAAGTGTCCATTGTGCTTTCACTATTCAGATACCGTAAAGCAAGTAGTGAAGACAAATCTTTCTTTCCTCTAGAGCTGTATCATCTGCAAAAAAACAAAACAGATACTGAGAACCTTCAGAACTAGTAATGTGACACTGAACAGATATCTTGAAAATGCTTATTCTAAGTTCCATCCAAGTCTACTTACATATACAGTCAGAAGGCAAACTAGAGACAGGTGGTTACTGTGAAATAATTCAAGCCAGTTCCTACTGAGTGACTTGATAAAACTCTGATCCATTTAGGAACTAGTAGCAATTTAGGCTTTTTTTTTTTTTTAAGGACAAGATCCACAGACTTTAATGGTCACGACAGCACTTGCTTTATCAGTTGTCAGAATTAAGACTAATCCATGTTTGCAACAATATTAAGTTTTATTGCTTAGGGGCATTCCACACAAAATATCTCCTTTTTGACCCTAGGGTTGCTACAGATATTAACATGGTTTGTCCATATAGATCAGGTAATCTTGTTAGTCCACGTGATAGGACATAAAACAGAAGGGCACTACAGGATTTGATTTTGTAAGGCATAAAGTAATTTAGATTCATCTAGAAAATCTACTCAGTGGATAGCCCCATTAAAATTTTCTTGGATCTAAATGAGTATTTCAACCAAAACAGTAAAAAAGGTGTCTACACAGCTACTGAAGTACCCACTAAATAATATCTGAAACTTCAGAGAACTGAGAAATACACCTCTGGATTAGATTCTTAGTTATGGTAGCCTATACGTAGAACAGACTACAAATGGATCTGTGTTTGGCCTTTAGTTACTTAAAAATATGTCTAAATACTTTTTTTTTTTTTAACAGAAACATATAGCAAGATTCATTATCACACAGGATTTATTTCAGGCTGCATTTGTCAATTCAGTAAAATCTCATTAGATTAAAAATTAGGTAAGACCATACGTTTTATAACAACATTTTCTACAAAGAGAAAAGAATGCAGTTCACCTATACAGAACTGATATTGCTCTAGTCGAAACAAAGGCCATTCTTCGCCCTGCCTTTAAAGTTCTGTGAAACCACTTATCGTAGTTGTGATGTACCTATTCTTATTACTCTCTTCAGCTCCTATGACAAAAGTAGTGAACACTTCGTACATGATAAAACTATCTACCAGCAAATTATAATTCTCTTTTTTTTAATTGTTCCTCTAAGAGAAGTTCAACACTACCACCACCTCAAGTCTCTGCATGCCAACACAGGCAGCCACAGTTTGCCATGCTATGTGTACAATTGAGTCATCATGATGGAAACTAGAGTTGCCAGTCTCCCTAACCGTACATCACAGAACTTGGCTTAAGAGAAAACAACCTGCTTTGGAAAAACCCGTCCAGTAACTGATGTCTTGATAGCAAGGACAATCTAAAACCAAAACAGCCTGGAAAGTTGGATGTTTGTGTTTTGGTCCCTCCCTCCTCACCACCCAAATAGAGAAGACAGTTAACAAGGTCAGCATGTAAATCCCACCGATTTCCTAGCTGCTGCTCTTACTGCTGAAAGAGAGAAGAGGTAAAGGTTCCGATCACAAATATGTGAGATTCATACAAATAATACTGAAACAGTCAAGAAGCATTTCTAAATTAACCTCTCAGCAGTGCTTCTGAAATCCACTGTCATTGGTTGACCTTTTCTAAATCCCTAGTCAACAAGTGTATGAAAACTGAAACACACATACAACACCCACACAACTCTCCACCCCCAAAAAAACCCAACACCCAAGAAAACAAGTGGTGATTTCAGATGCTTTTTGTCCCTCTTATTAATCAGACCATACACTCTGCCTCACTAAGAGTAGGGGATGTTTAACCCAGCAGCCAGGCAACAACCCCTCTGATGCTTCCTACAACTAAGAATATTCTTTTAGAGCAGCTGCAAAAGCAACAGCCTTACTTAAAACTCTAGTAGAGCAACATTTCAACTTTCAGAAGTCCTTTTCTTAACACACAACATTCTTCTATTCCCTCTGCCTACTAAAGATAAGCATATGACAGAACGCTTAAATGACAGCATAGAAAAAAATCTGAATCTGTCTAATTGCTTAAGTTTTGGAACACAAGTCTACCTAGCACTCACCTAAGTCAAGACTCTTCTTCTCAACATGATGTTATACTTAAGTCACTGATGTAGAGATCAGCAAGCAAAACTTGATACATTTCATATCCTGCACAGTTGAAGCATTTTTAGAATTATGCATTTACTGAAGAACAGACAGCATCACAGTAAGCAGCAACCTTAGTTATTTCCTTCTCTTCCACACAAATACCTAACACCACTAGTAACATAAGTAAAAGGAAGACTTTTTTCAGATATGACATCCAAGTAAGCCTTAAAGATCAAAGCATCTGAACTACAGATGAACAATAACCTAACAACCTAAAAGTAGAGTGGCACTCAGGTTTTTATATTAACTTATTAAGCAAAGCAATTATACCTACAGCTTTGCAAGAAAAAAGTTGTGTTCCTTCCTGGTACTTTTAAATGGATTGTAAGGCATATTGATCTACCATTTCTGATGGCTCATCAAGATTATTTCAAGCAGAGTGCATACTGTGGTCAAACCTTTGTTTACATTGATAGTTCAAGCTGCTATTTATCATCTGATCAGTGATCTGTAAGAACATAAAGGCTTTCCTTTATAGTACCTTTTCAACCTGTTTCTCCCATATTCTAAAAGAAAGCAGAAACTCTATTGATGAAAAAGACAAAAACACTCTGCTTGAAGCTTTGAGCCCCTTGCTGCCAATCTGACCGGCCAGAGAAGCCAACAGCCTAATCATCCTCTGCTGCAGGCTGTAAAAGGCACTCCCCAGAAGTACACAGTTTTTTCTGCCAACTTCCGGTCCCCAAATCACATACCCATCCAAGTCCTTGTGAGGGGTGTGTTCCTTTTAGCTTCCATGTTGTCCTTATGTTAATTTAGGTAAAATATCCTATTGCTTCTTTTGTCAAACCTGGAATGCCCCCATATCAAAAATAGGAGATTTTTGAAATCTAGAAACTGCCTAGTAGCAGGCCTGAGACTTCTTCAGTAACCAGGCAGCAATGCTCAGACCTGGCCATCTTGCCAACATCTAGGGTCTGAAAATCAAACCCAATTGCTCTAAGCTATGGAATATCCACTGGGGGAGTCTCAAGGACTCACAAAAATTGGGCAAGCAACCCAAAAGGATAAATAAAATTCCTGTAAGGGATACACCCACGTTTTAGGAACAAGTTTTCTTTTCGGAACCACTTCAATACCTTCTAAAAATAGACACATACCCTCATCAAGGAGCAGAGCTTCTTAACCATCAATATTACAGCAGAAGTCGTAATTGCCACAAGAAACAACATAGTTCAAGGAAAATCTTAAGAGTGAAAAAGATGCAAAAAGAGCAGAGGTCCTAATTGTTTATCCTGAGCTTCTACTTGCTCCCATGCAAATAGCTCCTTTAGTTTTCTGCACCCTCATTTGACTGTCATTCAAATGAAAATAGTTGACTGGGGGTACAGCTTTGAGACAAGTGTAAGAAAGCACGTCTACATTTGGCTCTTTATGCTAGAACTTAGGAATAACAAGCAGTTTTATTTAGCTTGTTAGTCATCCGATTTTCACATAAAGGTCATTTTCACATAAAGTTAGCTCACAAGTTGTGTTTCTTATCCAGTATTTGGAATTTCTGTTACACTTCTCAAAATATTTTAACTTCTATAATTTATCAAGGAATGAATAGTGACAATTTGCACAGGCCTTCCAAATAAGCAGTTCTTAACCTGCTGTTCCAAATATGAACAATACTATTGGAACAAGAGCATCCAAAAAAGTAAGACTGATCTACTCTGATATTAAGGAAAGCTACACACTCATATACAAGATGGAAAAGGTTTCTAGGCAGTAGTACTTTTAAGCCTCATTCACTTTCGTTAAGGTTGGCTCAAACATTTGATATAGCTGTAATCTATTCTTGTATTTGGTAGTTGCAGAAAAAGGGTCTGCAAATAAAGTACTGCAGAAAAAAATTACACAGTTGGAGATAACATGAGAGAAAGTTATAGTATCATATTGTTATATATATCACAATTAGCAGGAAACAACTGTTAGCTAGTTTGTATTTTCTTCAGTCAAATTTTTAGGACTACCTATGGGACCAGAACTAGAAGAAGATGGGTAGCCTCTGCTACCTTGACAGCAATGAATAAGAACTGGCTTTCTGGGATTTCTCTTTTTATTTTTAAAAGTATTCCAGGTCTCTGTTTTTATAGTATCCCTTCTTCCATGCTATATGTATGCCTCACAGCATGTAGACCATTAAAAAAAAGAAAGCCACAAAAAACCAAAAAACCGCTAAACCAGCACTGAGCAAAGTACATTTAGGTATGCAGAAACAGGACTGAGTTTAATAGGTTTGCTTATCATTTCTATGTCCCTACAGTAAAAATATTTTCAGAGCTATGTTCATCTTTCAGCTGTACAATGTTTATGCCTACAATATATAAATACATGCACAAAGTGAATTGCAGTTTTTCTAAAAGTTACAAGTTGATCTACATTCTCTAATAGGCTGCCAACACATTTCTTGCTGTGATGCTAAAGAAGTGCAAGTAAGATAAAGCTGTATTACAGAAGTACCATTCATTCAAGTGCTCTCAGAATTGAGATTGTCATCATATTGTCACTTGCAATAAATTTCAACTTCTATAAAAAGCATTAACTACTTACACCCTGTATAAAATTCTTTTCAGTAGTAGAAATAGAGCAGATACTCCCTCTACCTCTTGAGAGGAATTTTGCAGTTCTCTCATTTAGGATTACTAATGTACCAACAGAAGCTGTTTTTTAAGGACTAAATCCCTATACTTACCTAGATAGAGGGGAAAAGCTTCAAGATTACTGGTTATCTATTTGTACAATCCAAGTTTTACCAGTTCTGTGGAATTCTGTTTCTTCACACCTCTTAATAGTAAGAAGGATATTAGTTTCCATTTTCCTGGCATTTAGTATTCAGTGTATTCCACAACAGTGCCAGGTTTCTGAAACAGTATGT